CGACCTTGAAGCACTTCAGGTTCCAGAAAAATATTATGAAGAAAAAAAGTCTTTGTGGTGTCTTGCTTTGAAACATTGAATTAGTCACAAGAAAAGTAAAAACTAATTTACTGGATTCAATTGCTTCATTCTATTCTAATAAAGATAAAATTAAATATTTCTTTTAATATTAAAATGACCTAGTATTTAACTTCGTAATTTCGAGTAAAACATGTTTCAATCCAGATGGTAAACAAGGTTTGAATAAAGATCCATTTAAGTTCAGTAAGAAATCAAATCGGAACTCCAATCAATAGCTTGTTTTTCTATACTGATCAAGTATAATTCCCCATTTTTCTTTTTATGTATATAAAATTGATTTATTATATAAATACAGCAAATTTTTATGCGTTCAAAGTTTCTCCGTATTCCCTACAGGTTTTAAAAAACTCTAGTGCAATTTTTTAAAAAAATTAATTTAATGTGAAATTCATTTAAGTGGTATATCTGAAGGAATTTTAATGTCTTCCAAGGTAAATTTGCATGCTGTATAGGGAAAATTGATTTCGGGTTTATTAACATAGCACTAGAGGACTATTGGCGACGGACCTCGTAATTTTATACATTGGTCAAGTGACGAGGACAACACCGGAGCTAGTACCCCTTCTCCTAACTTCCTCACCATGCCAACAGGAGCACTTTGGGCACTGACAGATTTAATGTGCTTCAGCCCTGACTACACGGCGTGTTTTTAGTGGCATCGAGGCTTGAACCCGAGGCTCGATGAAAACTGCGAGCCGTGAGTCAGCAGCCATAGCCACTAGGCTACCGCCACCGTATAGTGAGCATAGCAATTTTAACTTATTTTAATATTTGTTGTGTTTCTAATAAAATTATTTCAGATATTTAAAAAAAGCATAATTTTTTCCCCAAGAAATAGGAGGAAGGGGGGAAATCATAATCGTCTATATTATTTTTAAACCACACCTATTATTTAGTTATTTTATAGAGGAAAACTCTAAAAAGTAATATAGAGGCAAATATTTTCTAAGGGATTTTCCAGTTTTTTTTCTTCTTTTTTGTTTTGATTGTCTTAAGAAACTATAAAGAATAGTTATCTTAGAAGTATCATTAAAATGTATTGAATCAAATATTCCTACAACTCAAAAGAATTTTCAATTAAATACTTAAATAGAACTAATAATTTTATTTTTTAATTAATTGTAAAAAATAATATGTTCACGTCTAATAGTGCCTTGTGTACTTAAATTTAGAATCTTTACCAATCAGGCATGTTATTATTTAAATTATAATGACAAATTTTATGTGTTAACTTTTTTCTTTTCGTTTTTCAAGTAATTCATTTTACTAAATCTTTTACTTTTTAAAATTTTTTCTCAGGGCTTATCAATATTTTTAAATTTTCTTCGAGTATTTCATTCACAACATGAGAAACGACTTTTTTTTCTTCAAAATTTGAATTCATGGAAGATTATTAACACACTCGTCTCTGTATCTGTGAAAACAGTTATAATAAACTGATTAATAATATCTGTAGAGAAGAATGATATTATTATTTCAATATTATGAATTCAAAAACAAAAAATTTAATTAAAATTTTTGTAGAAGTTAAAGCTAGATGAATCATATGTAATGCAGGAATAAATTATCAACTTTTTTTGGAATTTATAACATAACTGTTAAAATTCAGCAATATATTTCAAAGGATTTGATTTGTTGTTGATCGAACAGAAGATAATTATTGTAGGACGATTTGTGACAAAAAAGTTCAAACGCTTTTCAGTTATATCTTGTCTAATAATAAACATATTTTTTTTTGTAGTTAAACAGTATAAACTTATTTAAAAATATTTACAATAAAATATTTAAAAAAACTTTATTTCTATTTTTCTTATTTTTTATTGTTATAAATTAGTTATAAATATAAAAGTTATACTTAAATTTTTTTAATTTTCCAACATCAAGAGAAAAAAAATACTTATTTTTGAAATTTTTTTTTCTAATGTTAAAATGTTTCATTTAAAAAAAAGAAAGAAAGAATTATAGTGATATATTAACGTTTTAAAAGACAAATTTTCAAACATTGTATTGTATCCCTAAAATGCGCTACATATAAATTAGTTTTAAGTGCGAATAATAATACAATAAAACACGCAAAATATGTTTATTTAGTGTTCAGATATATTTTAGTGTTCAGATAGCAATATACATTTGCTTTGCCTTTTCAATCGTAATAGACAGATTTAGTTTTTCTGAAAAGATTTCTTTACATAATAAGACAAATGAAAATTTCTCTGTAAAAAAAAAAAAAAATTCTGCAGCCAGTTCGAAGTTCAAATAAAAAATAATTAATACGATATGAATCATTTCATGGCTCCTAGGTTTAACACTCATGACTTAGTTTATTTGCATAATTATGAAAACAAACATTCCATTTAAACACATTATTTAATGAAATTTTTAAAAGGTCTCACAAAAGTTCAATATAACTGAAGTAAATAACTGATTCAACATCTACATATTGATAGTGTTTATTGTCATGAGTTTTACATTTTAAAGCTTCTTTCTCTAACATAACAATAAAAATATATTTGAAGAGAAGAGGCGTTGCTCTTTATGCAACTTTTTCTGAAATGCGAAAAAATTCTTTTTTTCACAAAACATCTCTGTTGAATTATGTAAATCGTTTTAAAATGAGTCTGATTGGACTGAAGTTTCAAGGGCAATATATTTTAAAGCTCAATAGCAAAGGGAAAAAAAAAAAAAAAACTCAAAGAGAGGATTTATAAGTAATCCTACGAAATATTTCCAAAAATCTAGTTCTAACAATTCTTTAGTATATGATCTAATCATGGTAACTGCTACACTAAAAACTTATTTTATGACAGTGACTTCGATTAAGAACAAATAGGCTTGAAGATTTAATTACAAAATAACTTGACAAAGATAGTTATGCATATTTTTATGTTAATTTAGATTCACTGAGTCTTACTTGGTATTCCAATATATTTACACAACTTCCCTGCTGCATTTCTTTCTTTTGACACAATATTTTTTTCATAAGAGATTATATATTCAAATGTGCATGCCAAATGAATTATTCGAAAGCTTATTCCTTCTAACTGTGTTGATTAAACGATTTTGTATATTTTAAAATAACTGAAGTATACATGTTCGTCTTAACCAAGCTTTTAAAGAGCACCAAAAGTTTCCTTTCAAAGCCTATCTTACCTCCTCTTTAAACACATCTTTTTAAAACGTTTTTCTGAATTTCACTTGGTGTGTGTGTGTCATCAAATTTTCGATCGTTAATTTAACCAACTTCCCATCAAGCGAGGTTTGAAATTTTGGGAATCGTTCGTACTCGCCTAACAATGCAATATTTAAACATTTGCGACAAGTTTTAACTAATATTTCAATAATTTTAATAAATCAAAATACTCTTTCCCCTCGGCGCTTTTAGGATTGAGGAAAAAATTTCTTTCCCCCTCTGGGAACACCGGGCACTTCCCACACGCCACATGAGGTATCGTAAAACTCAAACTTACAAAGGGGAGATAATAAGGGTTACTGACTTTCAGTCAGTAATCATTCGCAAGAAAGAAAGATTCCAATATTCGGCGCCGTGTCTTATCACAATAATTTTTTTCTGAATTCTGGTTCCCATTTTTTTTAATAGAATGACTTACAAACTTTCAAATGCATGTTTTGATTTTAAGAGTATTATGAATTTTTTAATACGCTCACAAATGTTTCTTTTTAAGTAAATTTTAAATTTAAAAATAACTAACAGTTTTAACTAATATTTCAATAATTTTCTTTAATAAACTTTTCCACCATATAAAAACGCTGGTTTTTATATCGAATTATTTTTTTTTTTTCTGGTTGCATTTTAAATTTCTTCATTCTGGTTCAAATCTGCAATAAGTTTGCATTCGTCTTTCATTCTTTATTTAAAAGTGTTCCCTTTTTAGAGGTTGTGTATATATATAAATATTTTAGAAGTTATGTATATATATATATATATATATATATAAATTATTTTCATTCTTCAACATTTCTGAAACTTTTCATACGAATGAAAAGAGAACACTCTATTAATCAGAATACCAAATTTCTGTCTTAATTTTACAATAATTTTAATAATAATCAATTGAATTGAAATACATGATTATAAGAATAACAAAATAACTGAAGAATATGAACTCTTCTGATTCAAAGCATCTGAATTTTTTTTCTCTCGTTCCAATATTTTTTAGAATTCCGAACATTTCGAAGGAAATATTTCCTCTCTAACATATTTTACCTATTTAAATTAATGATGTTAAAATTAGTATAAAGTCAAAATACATTAATCTGATCACACATTTTACATATTTTCTCTAATTCAATTTTGATTTTAATTTTATTCTTGAAAGTTTTTCGTATGGCCTGATGAATGGAATGCTTATAAATTTGAAAAAATTGTATCTCACAGTTTGACTTATGAACAGCATTGATAGTTAAAATTAATGTCTGTATGTAGAAAAAAAAATGGAGGTAATCATAAAATCTGTAAATCATACATGCTATTTTGAAATATTTTTAAGGGATAAAAAAAAATGGACGCAATTTAAAAATATGTAATTCTCTCCTTGTTTAAAGAGTTTCTAATTTTTTTGATAATAGATGGCAGCACGGGACAAGTAAGGAATTGACTTGTGCAGAATAATTTTTCATCAGCCAATCAGCGTAGTCGTCTTGTGCTTTCAAAATAAGTAGAGTTCCATCGCTTTTGAATGTTAGCTATTTGTTAAAATACGTTTGAGTAAGAAACACGTGGTCGGTTTGCTTGCTATGATCATTCTGTCACAAGTTGGAAAAAAGTAAGTAATCGATTGTTATTTTAGTTGAAAATATTGTGCAAAGGCTCTGAGATACCTATAATCCTAATTCTCCGCTCCACTTTGAAATTAAGAACCTTTTACCGTCAAAAGTAACTTTTTGTCTCAAAGTTTTAGTAATCGAATGATGCAATTTTTATGGCGGAGCCTGAAGTCCGCGAAGCTTAACAGTAAGAATTTTTTGACTCACCTAATTTTCAGGGTCGTCTCGATTTTTCGGCGGGTACACAGTAATAACGGTTTTCAAAAATTCCTTGTAGATTTCATCCTGAATAGAATGATTGTGTAGTTCCTATTATGATTTACTGTTAAAATGAATGTAGGCAGTTTTGTTTATAGATGACAACATTGTAGGAAACATCAAAAACATATATTTAAATCAAAACAGCACAGCACAAACATTAAACACTCTTTTTCGCCATCATCTTTTCCAAAACACAACCGTTACAGCTTTTCCCTCTCTTCCATCTGTTGCCACTCTCCAACAGAGAAACTTACCTTTCATGGAGTTTGATCATGACGCAACAGATTGTGTCTCCGTCTCCACATGTATTAACCCATGTAAGAATCATATTCTCCCTCGACAAAGAAATTGGGATTGGGAGAATAAACGTGGAGTAAATGATTGACGGTAAGGTAAAAAACGCAGAAACACAATATTAACCAAGCAGGAGAATTTGAATGAAAAAACATTAAGAACGTAAAACGCAAAAGCACGAAAACACAGCAAAATTAATAAACGACTGAACTGCACAACTAGTACACCGGAATAACGGACAAAAAATATTCTAGAAACTCTGAGAAGTCGGAACTCAACAATGGAAAAGGCCAAAAGATTAACCCTTGATTGGTTAAGATTAAAAAGAAAAATAGTTTCGGTTTAGAAACGGTGACTCAAAAAGGTACTGTGATTGGCTAAAAGAAAAAAACAT